CCTGTGTGTCCTCTATGGATATACCTCCCAAAATCATCACTGACCCACCACCAAAATGGTCATGCTGAACAATGTTACAGGCAACATAACATTCTCTACGGCTTCTCCAGACCCTTTCACATCTGTCCCATATGCTCAGGGTGAACCTGTTCTCATCTGTGAAAAGCACAGGGCGCCAGTGGTGGACCTGCCAATTCTGGTGTTCACTGGCCAATTGGACACTATGGTGCCTAAGTGAGCACAGGGCCCACTAGAGGACATCGGGCCCTCAGGCCACCCTCATGAATTCTGTTTCTGATAGTTTGGGTCAGAGATATTCACACCAGTGGCCTGCTGGAGGTCATTTTGTAGGGCTCTGACAGTGCTCATCCTGTTCCTTCTTGCACAAAGGACCAGATACCAGTCCTGCTGATGGGTTAAAGACCTTCTACTGCCCTGTCCAGCTCTCCTAGAGTAATTTTGGGGTGTTGTTAACTCATACAAACCCGCAGTGGTTCGCATTAATAGGGTGCAATTGTGATGCGGTGCGAAATTCACACAGAAACCGCTGCAAATTCCGCACCGCATCAGTGTGAATCTAGGCTCATTGTGTCACCAGTGCTTGTCACTGTTGCAACAATTACATAACTTGTTCCACTCTCTAAATTGTCTCTATTACCAAGCCAGGGTGTCCATATTCCCATGCTGTTTATTTTTTCATTTACATATCATCTAAACAAAATAAGAGTGCACCAATATTAATAATATTCACAGTTTGGGCTAGAGAGTTCAAGCCTGACATTTCAGTTGGCCATTCACTGGTAGATTTTCGAAAGAACGTTCGTATGAACAATCATAAGAAAATTCTCAGCACATTTGATGGCTTGACAAATACCATTAGAAAACAAGTCAGAATTTTATTCGCTTTCAAGTTTCAATTTTGGAACCGATATACTTTACTGAATGAAAGTCCACATACACTGTTAGAAATTTGTTCCTTGGAAAAATATTTTCCATCCTGCTCTTTCATTTTTCTAGTCATTGCACTGGAAAATGAACTTCAATCTGACCCCACTAATGATTAGAAAATCGACCAAATGTTATTTGGAATAAAATTGTACTAGTGTATAGCCAGTCTAAGTTCACTATTTCCAAGAGTAGCTCTAGTAATACAGTTGATTGACTGTGTTAAGTTACAACCTAATTTAAAATTTCACTTATCTTTCAAATAACTAGAGACCCTTTGTATTTTTTTAAACAGACTCATATTATCAAGTAGAGATGTTTATTCCCATGGTCTTACAGCTGTCACCAAAAAGTGTCAACCATATAAGGCTAAAATATTTGGACACAATCACATCCAAAATATGCAATTTATATGCAAACCTGAAAAAAAAATTCACAGTGCAAATACAATGCACAATGGTACAGCATACAACTAAGTTCAAAAACTATAACTTTAAAGCAGGACTTTAGACATGTAGCAAAAAACATAGATAAAATAAAGTACTATGTGAATATGTTCACTAAAATTTTAGGTAAAAAATATAACTTATTCATGCCCCAGCCTGTAACTGGATAGTCACAAAACAGCAGTACACTGATAAGGTCATCCCTGTACTCTCTATTCCTAACAGAAGGCTTTAATGTAAGATTGACAGTATTGTGGAATCCAGTAGAGCTGTATTAACCTTCCAGTCCAAACTAGATTATAAGAGGCTGATATAAAGAAAGAATGAGGGGTTTAATTTTTTTTTTTTTATGGTTGAACTGGATGGACTTTTGTCTTTTTTCAGCCAGACTAACTATGTAACTATGAGGTATCAAAGAGAAATACATCAAATTATTTTAGCGATAATATCAAATTAATAATAAATGTGCTTTTTTGCCTATAGTTTCGCTTTAAGACCTAACTGCATGTTACATGGCAACACAGTATTTGTCTTTAGCCAAAAAAGTACTTGACCTTTAGCGAACATCAGTGCATAGAATCCCGGATATTATGTATGGAAAATAAATACAGATGTTTATTAAATAGCTTTTGTGAATATAATAACCCCATTAAGGATTAGTTATGGTTGCTGTTCCTGCAACTGGCTGAGAATTGCACTTGCTCACAGGAAATCACAAGTGTTTCATATATCAAGCACTGCTCACATGTTTGGACAATACAGAGCTTTGTGTATTTACATTACCCCTGAGATAAGGTCTTCTACTGTAAACTGTTAGTTATTTGATATTAGGAATTTTATAGTCATCTAGTAACAATTAGTGTGCTGTATTTAAAGTGGGTCTTTCAGTAACTTTACAAGTCTGCATGTATAAATTCCCGACATGTCACGACATACAGCAACAGTGCTATTTTAAAAAAAATAATCTGTATTATTTATTATACAAAAAACAGTCCTGAAGCTTCTCTCAAATGACTTTGCCTAGGTTAGCATGATGTCATCAGACTGCTGCAGGCAGGAGGAAGCATTTTCTTATTGCCCTTCTCAGCAATCAGACTGCAGCATTGTAACTTTGTAGCAAGTCAAAAAGGTTATTGGCAGCAGCAGTGGGTTGATCTGTGTCAAACATTTGTGAGCACAGCCATAAACTGCACAGGCACTAGGATTTACATGAGAGTACCAACTCCAAACCAGCCATGTGGTTCAGGCATTGTCAGGATGAATACTGTGAACTGTAAATGGTATTAACTACCGGAATGTGTTTCACCTAAGTATTACTAAATATGCATGAAAAGTATATGTGATTGGATCCCTTCTCTTCTCTATCTACACCTCTTCTTTTGGTCACCTGATAACCTCCAATGGCTTCAAATACCACCTCTACGCCGATGACAACCAAATCTATCTTTCTACTCCTCACCTCACTCCTTCAGTCTCCTCTCGCATTACTAACCTACTAAGTGACATATCAGCATGGATGTCGCACTACTTCCTTAAACTAAATATCTCTAAATTCAAGGCGATAACATTCCCTCCCCTCGTGCACTCCTACATGACTTTTCCATCAAGATCAATAATACAACTATCAGTCCCTCACCTCAAGCCAAGGTACTAGTTGTAATCCTAGACTCTGACCTAATCTCTCAGCCCCAAATCCAATCACTTTTAACAGCTAGTTTGTAGACTTTACCTCTGTAACATCTCTAAAATTCTCCCCTTTTTCAACCAATAAAACCACCAAGCTACTTGTTCACTCCCTTGTTATCTCTTGCCGTGACTATTGCAACTCCCTTCTCATAGGCCTACCTCTCCATAGACTATCCCTTCTTCAGTATATCATGAATGCTGATGCCAGGTACATCTACCTTACCAACCGCTCAGTGTCTACTACCCCTCTCTTACAATCCCTGCCTTGTCATCCAATTGCCCAGCTAATTAAATTCAGAATACTAAAAACAACATACAAAGCCATCCACAACTCTGGCCTGAGCTACATCACCAATCCTGTCTCCAAGTATCACCCAAACCGTTCTCTACACTGCTCTCATGACCTCCAGATCTCAAAATCCCTTATCTTCTCCTCCCATGCTCGTCTCCAGAGCCTCTCCCATCCTCTGGAACCTCAATCTATCCATCTGTTTCCTACTCTGGCTGCCTTTAGGTGATCCCTGAAAACTAATTTCTTCAAGGAAACCTATCACGCCTCAAAATAGACATTTATCACTTCCATCAGCTCATCCTCCACAGTTATAACCTTTTGTACCACTTGCCCCACCTTATTAGATTGTAAGCTCTTTTGATTAGGGCCCTCTTAATCCTTTTGTTTTGATTGTACTGTAGCTGTGCTGTCTCCCTTTATATTGTAAAATGCTGCACAAACTGTTGGCCCTATATAAGTCCTGTATAATAATAATAATAATAATAATAATAATATATATGATGCCGATCCACTTTAAAATAAAAGAATTTGTAGTGGATAATGTTTCATTTGTACATTTGTGCTTATTCTGTCCCACTTGGTGTTTTTATGTATAACATATAGATGATTCATAAATGCAAATGCAAAACTGTATGGTGGATTCCTTATTTCCATTTTAACTTTTAAAAACAATCTCATCTACTTCAGTCAGTAATTTCAGTACACCATTAGAGTAAGTATGCAGATACTACTTCTGCATATTTGAGCATTCTATTGGTATTTGTAGCCTATTTAGTTATGCCCATCTTTCAACTTGATCTGCAATGTTCCCTCTTCAATTCCTAACGTTGATTCTTAAGATGTTTTTGCAGAAAACATGACTTTACAGTATTTTGCTGAGCAGGTGTATTGATACAAAGGAGTTGATTTACTGAGGGAAATTAGGATGTTCCCTTTGCAAGGGAAATGTAAGGGGATTAGCCCTGGAGTATAGTGAATGCGGTGAAGTTTCATTTTGTAAAAAATACCCATTTATGTGCAAAGAAAATAAGAAAAACAGTACTTTTGCTTTCACATGATTGGATGATAGACGTCAATAGAGGTTCACCTCAGGGCAGATACAGTAGCAGATATTCCCAGTTATGAAAAAAAAGTATATATATATATATATATATATATACACACACTATTTTGCCAAAAGTATTGGGACACTATAACAGCTTCAGCTCTTCTGGGAAGGCTGTCTACAACATTTAGGAGTTGTCTATGCGAATGTTTGACCATTCTTCCAGAAGTGCATTTGTGAGTTCAGGCATTGATGTCTGATGAGAAGGTCTGGCTTTCAATCTCTGCTCTAATTCATTGTAAAGGTGTTCTATTGGGTTGAGGTCAGGACTCTGTGCAGGCCAGTCAAGTTCCTCCACCCCAAACTCGCTCATCCATGTCTTTATGGACTTAGCTTTGTGCATTGGTGCACAGTCATGTTGGAACAGGAAAGGGCCATCCCCAAACTGTTCCCACAAAGTTGGGAGCATGAAATTGTCCAAAATGTCTTGGTATGCTGACGTCTTAACAGTTCCCTTCACTGGAATTATAGGGCCAAACCCAAACACTGAAGAACAACCCCACACCATAATTCCCCCTCTACCAAACTTTATAGTTGGCACAATGCAGTCACGCAAGTACCGTTCTCCTGGCAAACGCCAAACCCAGACATGTCTATCAGATTGCCAGACAGAGAAGCGTGATTCGCCACTCCAGTGAACACATCTCCACTGCTCTAGAGTCATGTGGTAGTGTGCTTTACACCACTGCATCCAACACTTTGAATTGCACTTGGTGATGTAAGGCTTGAATGCAGCTGCTTTGCCATGGAAACCCATTCCATGAAGCTCTCTACACACTGTTGCTGTGCTAATCTGACGGCTGCATGAAGTTTGGAGGTCTTTTGCTATTGACTTTGCAAACAGTTGTTGACTTCTGCACACTGTGTGCTTCAGCATGTGCTGGCCCCACTATGTCATTTTACATAGCCTACCACTTCCTGGCTGAGTTGCTGTTGTTCCCAGTTGCTTCCACTTTGGTATAATACCACTAACAGTTGACCATGGAATATTTAGTAGCAAGGAAATTTCACGAATGGACTTATTGCACAGGTGGTAACCTATCACAGTACCACGCTTGAATTCACTGAGCAGCTGAGAGCGACCCATTCTTTCACAAATGTTTGTAGAAGCAGTCTGCATGCCTAGGTGCTTGATTTTATACACCTGTGTCCATGGAGGTGATTGGAACACTTGATCTGTTATCTTGATCATTTGTACTTTTACTCCTTTTGGCATTATACATGAACCGTTTGCTATTTGATCATCACCTCCTTCTGTGTTCCAAGTACCTTTATATATTTGAGTAAGTAATAAACATATTAAACAAGGAAAAACCATTCAGATCTTGGTGGGTAGAGGTGAGAGGTCATTAAAGAGGCTGTTAGAAAATTTTAAAGTGAGGTTGTCATAACAGAAATACTGAAGTACCTGCACTTCTGTTGCCAAACACTTTCACTGTTCAATTTGCATGGGAATTTTCTCCTAAGATTAGTGACTGTGCTGACATTTCACTTTGCAAAGAATACTGAATCACATACCAGAAAAAGACAGTGTTTTTGCTTGCACATGTTTGAATGATGGAAGTAAACAGAGCTTCACCTCATTCACTAAGCTCTAGGAAATTTCCCTTGCAAAGTGCAATTTCCCTTGGAGAGTGAGCAGTACAGTTAGTCAATCCAAATGACTCAAAAAAGTGTGCAAGTATTTACCAAACTTTCTGCTCTCTCAGACAGGACTTGTGTGATCCCCAGGCTGAGAGCTTTGGCTACAGGTTCCAGGTGAGATTAAATTGCCAGTGGAGAGAGGAATAAACCTTGCACTGGACCACAGGATAGAGAGAGGATAGTCGTTCCTGGTACTTAGCTACAGGATCGCTGAATACAGTCGTGGCATGGTCCACAGACAAGATCAACAGGTATTAGCCTGTCAGAGTGGCCTGAAGGGAGGGTGGTAAGGTATAACATCCACATTTCTTTGGTCCTTAATGTCCTCAGTTTGATGCAGCTGTGTTGGACCTCAGAGGCAAGTGAAAGGCCAATGTTTGTGCAAACTTTCTAGGGCTGAGTCTCCAGAGGGCAGGTGGAGGTTTTCCAGGGTATTTTGTAGCTCTTCAGGGGTACAGCAAGTATATAATGTGACCCCTGGAGGGAGAATTGGAGAGCAAATGGGAAACCCCACTTGTATCTGGGGTTTCATGGCCTTGCTTTTGGTTATAGTCAGTCAGGGGTGCCAAGTCTTTGGACAGCCAGTAGGTGTATCTTTTGAAAGTAAGTGAGTCTTTTCCGCAGGCAGTGAACAGTAGTTTTATCTTTCATTCTGTAGTTGTGTGGCCTAGCTATTTTATCCCTGAGGGAGGGGCATCTGGCTGATGGAGTGAGAGAGCTCGGTATACATGTTACATCTCGAGCCTTTCAATAGAAAAAGAAGGTGCCAGTTCCTAGAAAAGAGCTTTAACTGTGGATTAAAGGTCTAGCACAGTCTTCGGGACACTGCAGATTCGCAAATTGGATCTGTTCCCAAAATCTTTAAGATGGGTCTGAAACAGGGACGGACTGACCATTTGGAAACTCGGGCACTGCCCGAGGGCCCGGGGTCAGTAGGGGGCCCCATGAGATGCCCCTGGTACCTTTTTCATAGGCTTTTTTGAGTTTGGACAAGGACACAGGGGCCCCATGATCCCCTATTGCCCGGGTGCCCCATGAGTTGTCAGTCCGCCCCTGGTCTGAAAAGCAAGATTTTCCCACTGAGGGCCTCAAGTTCATTATCATGCCCCTGTACAGCTGTCTGTAGACTGTCTGCTTAGCTCTCAAAGTCAGCTGTGTATTGGCCTAAATCACGTATTTTGCGGAAAAGACCCTCCATGGTTTGAGATGGTTTTGAGTGTGTTATTCTCTGAGACTGTTTCAATAGGTCGGATTGTGAGATCCCCTCTTTTAACATGGATTGAGAATCATTTAAATCTATGTCTCTATGAGTCGCTCTGTGACAGGTTGGATTATTGCAGTAAGGCTGCAGGAGGCTGATGTGTGGCCCGCACAAAGAGCCATCTATGAGGAAGCCCAGGACAGAACTTCTTTAATAAATGTGTCCCTCTTTCACTGTGAGTGCCAGAGAGAACCATCTCCATGAGTGGCAGATATGTGTGGGGAGGCAGCTGATCTTGGTTGCAAGCAGGGTATAGTCCGGGTGTGTACTGTAGCCTTATCAGTTTTCTGGGAGGTGGTGGAGCCTTAGGCATGCGGAGAGCTGCACGCATGCGTCCGACATCTGAATGGTTTTTCACTGCACATTCAGTGGGCCTCTTATACTTGAATGTAACTACAAATATTTTTTGTAGGCAGTGCCAGCTGTGACAACACTGTCATTGTATTTAATGTAAAGTATGTTGAATTCCCCAAGAGGTAGTAGGATTGCAGTCAGCATAGTCTATAACCACAATACAAATTTCTATAAACTGTTCTTTTAAAAGAGTTCAAATTAACCCTGAGGAAGTCGCATGCTATTGTGACGCAACACGTAGGCCTGCACGTAGTGACACACTGCCGGCGTAGACACCATCTTGGCACACCTATTCCTATACCCATGCAGAGTAAACCCAAAAAGCATGCGGTTTGAAGCTGTCAGATACTGGAGATTTATGTGAGTGCACATTTATTATATTTGGTTCGATCTTCTTGTGAATGAACATATTACACTATGGGAGGTTGTGTTTATGTTTGAGATACTGGTACATACCCCCACCCTATCTGGAGAGGAGCCACTATCTAAGTGCTGACCCCTTGAGAGGGAGATCTGTGTGCGGTGAGAGCAGACCAGTGGAGAGGCTGCATGCTAGAAGGATCTGAGGGTGTGATCCCACAATACGCTCTGACCCGTACGGGTCAAAGTTTTGAGGTGAGAGGCTAATCTAGCCGTCGGTTGGATTTTCTTTACCAGCAGTTACCCACAGTCACTTACATCAGCATGAATGTCGTATTGGAATAAGTGGTATTATCCACTGTATTGGACTTTAGAGCACATATCAGACTTTTCAGTTTGATCCAATTAGTGTGTTGTTTGCACATTATTTGCACAATTTTTGTCACTTTATTTTCTGTTTGATGGATGTATATATTTTATTGCACTTATTCAGATTTATACTTATTGCTCCTTATTAATGGTATATATATCCTCTGTTATATATTGTGGCACTTGTAGACATTTGGTGCTTGTTTAATATTATATTTATATGCACTAGTTTTTTGCATGTTTATACATATTATATTGAGTTTGCAGTGGTAGTGATTTATCACTGGTTTTACTGGACTAATATTCACCTTCACGTTTTGGTCCAGTTGTAGAACACTATTATTTGTGGTAGTGTATCTACGTGTCACATCACATGGTGGTATATTGTTTCACAGGCATTTCACTTTTTTGTGGCACTTTTTGTGAATATTTTGTTTCACCATTGTGATTTATTTTACACAGTCTGTCATTTGTTTTTATCCACATGAGTGTATGCATATATTATTTTTGTATTTTGTATTTATATATTATATGTGAGTAGCGCTACATTTTTTATAGTTATTTCAAATTAGGAGTCACTGTGGATGCTTTTACAGTCTTGGATGTTCTGTTGGACATACATTTATACCATTAAGACCGCTACACAAAACAGATAAAGCAAAAAAAAAAATGTGTACCTAAGGACTTTCTTCTACACTGCAGACCTTAAAGTTTAAGTTGCCTCAACAACCTCCCTGACAGGGCTCTTCCCATCTACAGGTCCATTGGCAGTCATGTGGGCTGCTATAGCTATTTTTATGCCACCACTCTCATATGGTATTGACATGTTGTCTGTCTATCCCAGGGGTCTGCAACCTTTAAGACATAAAGAGCCACTTGGACCCGTTTCCGAAGGGAAAAAAAAGACTGGGAGCCGCAAAACCATTGCAACATTTATAACAAATCCGACACTGCATATATTGCAAAAAGCACTCTGGTCATGAAGGGGGTTTAAGGGCCCAGTAAGCAAAGGGTTAATCAGGGCCACAGTGTATCTTCATAATCACAATCATAGCCTTAGGTCAGTGGTGGGCAACCTTTTTTTTCAACTGAGCCAAATCTCGCCAAAACCACGATTGAAATTTATTTTGACAGCCACATTTTTAAAACTGAAAATACATCCCCCATATAGTAATACATCCCCCATAGTAATTCATCCCCCATATAGTAATTCATCCCCCATAGTAATTCATCCCCCATATAGTAATTCATCCCCCATAGTAATTCATCCCCCACATAGTAATTCATCCCCCATAGTAATTCATCCCCCATATAGTAATTCATCCCCCATATAGTAATTCTTCCCCCATAGTAATTCATCCCCCATAGTAATTCATCCCCCATATAGTAATTCATCCCCCATATAGTAATTCTTCCCCCATAGTAATTCATCCCCCATATAGTAATTCATCCCCCATAGTAATTCATCCCCCATATAGTAATTCATCCCCCATATAGTAATTCATCCCCCATAGTAATTCATCCCCCACATAGTAATTCATCCCCCATAGTAATTCATCCCCCATAGTAATTCATCCCCCATATAGTAATTCATCCCCCATATAGTAATTCTTCCCCCATAGTAATTCATCCCCCATATAGTAATTCTTCCCCCATAGTAATTCATCCCCCATATAGTAATTCTTCCCCCATAGTAATTCATCCCCCACATAGTAATTCATTCCCCATAGTAATTCTTCCCCCATAGTAATTCATCCCCCATATAGTAATTCATTCCCCATAGTAATTCATCCCCCACATAGTAATTCATCCCCCACATAGTAATTCATTCCCCACATAGTAATTCATCCCCCACATAGTAATTCATCCCCCACATAGTAATTCATCCCCCACACAGTAATTCATCCCCCACACAGTAATTCATCCCCCATATTGTCTCAATTCACTTACCTTTGCTCCGCGCGTTCCTCTCGCTGTGTTCCCGCGCCGTTCTGGTCTTCAGGGCGGACTGAGAGAGGAGTTCGTCACTCTGCCCCGCCTACATCCTGGCTGCCCCACCTACATCCTGACAGCCAATGTTCCACGCTCCGCGGGCCGGATTTTTGAGGAGGGAGGGGAGCGGGCGCCCGGCACACAGAAGAGCCGCATGTGGCTCGCGATCTGCGGCTTGCCGACCACCTGGTGGGCAGTGTGCTCCGGAGCCGCAGCAAAGATGAAAAAGAGCCGCATGCGGCTCTGGAGCCGCGGGTTGCCGACACCCGGTCTATCCCTTACACAGTCCACAATCTATGACTGTCAATAGAGAGGTTTAAGGACACATTTAGTAACAAACATTCTGTTAGTGGGAGATGCAGGCAGCACGTGTGCCTAATACAGCTAAATTACAATATGGAAACTCTTTTCACACATACAGAATGCAGTCGGAAGGAGCACTGGAGATGGAAATGTTGACCTCAGCACATTTATATTACTGGATTACACTACCACTATCCTCAGATTAAAATTAAAGTGACATTTTTTAAAATATGATATTATTGGAAAGCCACTGTACAGTCATGTCTATACATTGATTTTGCATGCATACACTATGCACTGTATTTCATTTCTTGGTGGTTACCTGGCTGATTATAACCATGAGTATAATTTTGTACAGCTTTGAGGGATACTGGCAAACAGTCTATTAATGATGATTGGAAGATTGAAGAACCTGGAACCTTTCACATGGCTGGTACAACTGTTAACTACATAAGACGAGGACTCTGGGAGAAGATTTCAGCAAAAGGTCCTACAACATCTCCTCTTCATCTTCTGGTGAGCAAAATTAATTATGTGATCAAAAAAACAGCAACTTGACTCCGCACTGGAAATTAGCTGCCTGTTCAGACTGGCTTGTGCTTATTCAGAAGTTTGGCAATGGACAGACTATATGAGTGTTTGCTAAGCTGAACCTTCAGCTACAGTAGGAAGTAAAACCTTTAGCAGCTGTATTATTACCTCTGCTAAACATAATAGCTTCCTGCTCAGGTCTCCTGGTTGTTAGGGAGGCAGTGGCTGCTGGCATCCTAACAATTAGTGTCTCATCCCTGCCCGGCCCATTCAGCTGTCAGCTGGGGGGTGAATGTATACAAAGGGACCCCACCTATAAATATATTTTTTGTACTTCTGGATGAATTTATTCTGATTTCAAAGGTTTAGCACAATGATCTTGACAACCAGTGATTCATCCCCACCAAGTGTGTTCAGTTGTCAGCCAGGGATTCCCAGTCGACAAGGGAATGTAAAAAAGGGATTGGAATTGATTAAAAAATAGTGTGAGGTCAACTGCAAAATTTATAACAGACCCATCAGGCATGGTACAGTTTTTGTGGGGACCACACAAAAAAAAACAGCATGAGGGATCTGGTAAAAAAAATGTACGGGGACCACAAAAGCCATATTGCTACTACTGCTAAATATGTTAGGGTTTCTGATTGTTAGGTAGCCAGTGGCCTTTGGCATCCTAAAAACCAGTGTGTCATCCCTGCCCAGCCCATTCAATTGTCAGCTGGGGGAAAGTGTAAACGAAGGGGCCCTACCTATAACTTTTTTTTTTTTACTTCTGCTTTCGATGGTTTAGTACATTTTGGAAACCTTTAATTGATGCTGAAAAAAAACAATTAAGGCTCAATTCTAATCATTAATACAACATTAAATTATTTTTTTTAAATACAAGCAGTTATAAGTACCTGAATGTGACCTACTGTAGTGTCAGCCTCAGAAGGAGCTAATCAGTTCATGTGCTGACATGGAACCTGCAGATAGAAGGAGAGGGCAAAATGAAAGCGAGATGAGCTAATCATTGTGTTTCTTCTTCTTTCACTGTCCAGTCACAGGCTGGGGCAGATCATGGACACTCTGGGCTTATTTTTATCTTATTTTTTAATGAGCTATTAGTTCATATATTGGTATTTTTGGCTGGAGATCTCCTTTAATGAAGTTGTGACTTTTCACTGAATATGGAAATTTCATTGGAATACAGCAAAAATATATTTGTATGAATTTCTAATGAAAACATATTTCATCTTTAGCAAAGCAAATAAAGAATAACACCTGCAATGAATTGAATTCAGATGTGCATCCTTTCTCATGTACAAAAGATTCTTCTCTAGACAGAGAAGCTTAGACTGATTTGCGTCCAGGAAAGGAGACGGAACCAAAAATGAAAAACATTTCATATGTGTTGCTTGTTGTAGAAACAGCCTGTGTTTTCCAAGTTTCACTTAGACTACAAAAATATGTAGCACATATGGAAAAATACTGTTGACAGACAATAATAAGAGTACATTTCCAAATATTCTGTGTTTGAGTACTGATTTTTTTTTTTTAGATTCCTCTCTTTAATATTCACCTGTTCACTTGCAACTATTTACAAAGATGTTTTAAAGTTTCACTGTTTTCCTAGAAATGACAGAGGTTTTTATATGCCAAATTACACTTTGAGTTAATAAAAATATCCACTTCCCAATAAAAAATGCTCAGATACACACAGTAGTCTGAAAGTCTTTCCTGAAGGAGGAAAAAACTGACGTGCAATTGCCAGCATATTTTCCAGTCATCAAGACACTGGAGTTTGTAGCGAATGCCAATGTTCCACTTCCTTGCCTGATCTACGTTCTCACTTTCTTGTTTCTGTGTATTTTGCAGGTGCTGCTATTTCATGACCAGAATTACGGTCTCCATTATGAATATACAATACCACTGGATCCGGTTCCGGAGAACCGCAGCACAAAAGGGAATGAGCCTTTATACATGTGGACACACTCAGGGTGGGAGGACTGTGATGCTGTGTGTGGAGGAGGTAAATAATATCAAACATTTATGGAGAGAGGAGAATTTATCAAGGACACTAATAAAAATCAAGTGTCCATCTAGTGCAAATCTAGTTGCCTTTCATTTAGCAAAGACTTTGCAACATGTTCTGTATACATTTGTGACCCCAGCAAATGTATACATGCAAATTGAAAAGCCTCAATATATATAAAATTTTCGCACTCTGGAAAAAACACACACATTTGTATTAGATGCCTGCACCCAGATTACTAACCCACAAAGGTTGTAATCGATAATGAAATCAGATCAATCCTAAATAAACAATTCTTAACAGGATCATATTATGTGTACTATTACTCCATAAAGTGAAAATTGCTCCATAAAAAACAATAGTCAATACTTCCCCAATCTAAAGTGCTTATCTGCTCAATATATATGTCCATATGTGCATGATATAACAGTGCTCTATGTAAAGGTGCAATCCTATGCAGAGAATGCCGATCCCCTGTAGATCAGAAAACTCCAATCAAAGTACTCAGAAAGCAATAATCGTACAGAAACAATTGAACATGTAAAAAAGTTATAATATAACACATAAAAAGCTCATTAAACTGCAAAAAAATGTCCGGTAAAAAAAATAGAAATTTCCAATATCACAATTATCCACTTGTAGCTTGTGTGCAAAAAAAATTACATACACTATATTTCCAAAAGTATTGGGACGCCTGCCTTTACACGCGCATGATCCTTTATGGCATCCCAGTCTTAGTCTGTAGGGTTCAATATTGAGTTGGCCCACACTTTGCAGCTATAGCAGCTTCTGCTCTAATTCATCTCAAAGGTGTTCTATCTGGTTGAGGTCAGGACTCTGTGCAGGCCAGTCAAGTTCCTCCACCCCAAACTCGCTCATCCATGTCTTTATGGACCTTGCTTTGTGCACTGGTGCACAGTCATGTTGGAACAGGAAGCGGCCATCCCCAAACTATTCCCACAAAGTTGGGAGCATGAAATTGTCCAAAATGTCTTGGTATGCTTATGCCTTAAGAGTTCCCTTCACTGGAACTAAGGGGCCAAACCCAAACACTGAAAAACAACCCCACACCATAATCCTCCCTCCACCAAACTTTACACTTGGCACAATGCAGTCAAGCAAGTACTGTTCTCCTGGCAACTGCCAAACCCAGACACATCCTTCAGATTGCCAGACAGAGAAGTGTGATTCGTCACCCCAGAAAACACGTCTCCACTCCTCTAGAGTCCAGTGGCGGCATGCTTTACAAGACTGCATCCAATGCTTAGCATTGCACTGGGTGATGTAAAGCTTGCATGCAGCTGCTCGGCTATGGAAACCAATTCCATGAAGCTCTCTATGCACTTTTGTTGTGCTAATCTGAAGACCACACAAAGTTTGGAGGTCATTATCTATTGACGTTGGAGACAGTTGGTGACTTCTTTGCACTGTGCACGTCAGCATGCACTGACCCCGCTCTGTCATTTTATGTGTCCTACCACTTCGTGGCTGAGTTGCTGTTGTTCCCAGTTGCTTCCACTTTGTTATATTACCACTAACAGTTGCCTGTGGAATATTTAGCAGCAAGGACATGTCACGGATGGACTTATTGCACAGGTGGCAACCTATCATGGTACCACGCTTGAATTCACTGAGCTCCTGAGAGCAACCCATTCTTTCACAAATGTTTGTAAAAGCAGTCTGCATGCCTAGGTGCTTGATTTTATACACCTGTGACCATGGAGGTGATTGGAACACGTGAATCCAATGATTTGGAAGGCTGACCCAATACTTTTGGCAATATAGTATATAAAGTATTCTTCAGTGCTCAGTGCTGAATCCACTCTGTGCTCCCTTCCTATTGTACCGTGATCACCAAGACTTTTTGACCCCTAATCATAGAAAGTCTATGGCGCTTTAAACATTGGTACTCTCGGCTCCATTTTGTCCCAACGGTCCATTTTGCTGGTATTCTTCTCATTATTACTCTCCGAGGATGCATTCATGTGTGGGAGATACAACCCAGAGGCAGCCTCAAATAGGATAGGAAATAGCAGTGCTCTTTTAGTTTGTATAGGTGCAAGCATTCATTTTGTAAGTGGATTTTAGTTGGTTTTAAGTATTATGCTATTGGTTCAGAAGTCAGATTCTGTGAAATATGTGACACAACACTTGACTTGTGCAGAACGGAAACATTTGTTTAATTTCAATTTGTTATTTAAATAATTTAGTTAATTTTGTTTAATTCATTTTTGGAATTCATTTGATTTCATTTTCAAATTTGATTTGAGTTCAGTTCGACCAAATTCGGAAAATTCAAATCAACATTTGAATTCGAATTGGCATTTGAATCCAAATTTATTCTGTTAAAAATCTGAATTTCAGAAGACAGTTATTTTCTATTTGGTTCTATTCTGTTCTATTTTATTGTTTTTTTTCTATTCTTTTCTCTTATATAATTATATTCTTTCTATTCTATTCTATAGTTTTTTTTTCTATTCTGTTCTTTTCTAATCTAGTCTACACTAATTCAGATTTAGTTTATTTAAAATTCAAATTTCAGAAGACAATTATATTATTTCTATTTTATTCTATTCTATTGTTTTTCTATTCTATTTTAATCTCTTCTATTCAAAATTTGAATTTTAGAAGTTTAGTAATTTCTATTTTATTCTTTTCCATTGTTTTTTCTATTCAATTCTATTCTATTCTTTTCTATTTTATTATTTTCTAATCTATTCTAATCTATTTTATTAGAATTCTAATTTAATCTATTCAAAATTTGAATTTTGGAAGACAGTTATATTTTTTTTTCTATTTTATTAAATTCTGTTGTTTTTTTTTCTATTCTATTCTAATCTATTGTATGCAAATGTATTCTATTCCAAAACTGAATTTCATAAGACAGTTATATTCTTTCTATTTTATTCTATTCTATTTTTTTTTCTATTCTATTTTATTCTATTCTTTTCTATTGTATTTTTTTCTAATCTGTTCTATTATTTTCAATTCAGATATATCCAAATTTCTGAATAATTAAAAATTCATCCAAATTTCAATTAGGAAAGAGACGAACCTCTCATGCCTACACAGCAGTGCCTACTCATAGAGTATAGAGAATGTGTCACAGAATTAAAAGAAATGTGTGGGGATCTTCACGGAGTAAGGTTACATATTTCAAAATTGGTCAAATTATTAGGCTAGACATAATTGAAATACAAAGTGGAAGTGAATATATAATTTTTATTTTTTGATCATAGACATGTTTTAATCTGCCTGCATGCCATCACTTGCTGTGTGAAACACCCAGTTATTTAGCAATGGAATAAATATCTGTCCTTGGCAACATGATGCTTACACAGAAATAATGATGAGAAGTCTTTTTTCACCCTATACATAACTCAATGAACAGCATTCTAAGTTAAACTGGGCAGTCCCACATACACCTGTATTTCCTTCACCTAAAATAACTTAAACACAGTGGGGGGGATTTACTAAAACTGGAACACTCAGAATCTGGTGCAACTGTGCATGGTAGCCAACCAGCTTTTAATTTCAGCTTTTTCAATTAAGCTTTGACAATAAAAGCTGGAAGCTGATTGGTTTCTATGCAGAGCTGCACCAGATTTTACATACTCCAGTTTTAGTAAATCTCCCCCCAGTGTTTCCTGAGTCATTTTAGGTGCAACATTAATGTAATTGCTTTGTACCTTTAATGTTTAGCTCAGAAATGTAGCCTGCCATTTATCCTGTGCAGCTGGCTACCCAATGTCCCTAGCGACTAGTTATCATGTTTTCTGAATGGTCCTGGATCCAAGGTTCTTTATGGGCCCATTAACACCAGGGCACCATTGCATCTTCCCAGCGCATCTGCATTGCAGCTCACTACAACAGATTACTATGCTTTGCAGTGTACTACGCTGCCACATGTTTTGCATACATGACTTCCATTGTGGTGTATTTGGCAGCCAATTTAAATAAACAGTTTGCCTAAATGCCACACACGTTAACCACTTTTTCTGCCACCCCATAGTAGAAGTACTGCTACAGGGCGGCAGGGCTGCGCAAATAATGGATGTATTCGTGATTTGCATTTCTGGGTAGGGGGGCACGCATACCACCCTACCCGCACCACTACTGGCAGCTAGGGATGTCAACCGGGTCCCGGCCAACAATTCCTGGCTGGTACTCGGCATTCATTGGGTAAAGCTGACAGGAGAGAGACCTGTGTGTAAAACAACACAGGTCTCTCACCTGTCAGCAAGGACATGCTGCTTTGTTTTTCTTTGCACAGCAGAGAAATACAAAGCAGCATGTCTTCATAGTAAAACAAACACAGCACATGATGCAAAACACACACAGCAGCACACATTAAACCCTTTGATCACCCCAGATGTTAACCCCTTCCTGCCCAGTGCCATTAGTACAGTGTCAGTGCTTTTTATTAGCACTGATTACTGTATTATTGTCACTGGGGATGTCAGTGGCAGTCAGTTCCCACCCAGTGCCAGAATGACCAATGCAGTCCCGCATTTCTGCTATAAGTTGCTGATTGTCACCATTACTAGTATAAAAAAAATAAAATTAAAAATTCAAACATATATACTGCCATTTGTAGATGCTATAACTGTCACGTAAACCAATTAATTTACAGGTATTGGATTTTTTTTAGTAGAATATATTTTGGCCTGAATTTATGAAGAAATTAGATTTTTAAAATTTTTTCATTGAATATGTTTTATATCAAAAAGTAAAAAATTAATTTTTTTCAAAATTGTCGGCCTTTTTTTGTTTAAACCACAGAGGTGATCAAATACTACCAAAACAAAGCTCTATTTTGGGGGAAAAAATTACATAAATTTAATTTATGTATAGCATTGCATGACTGCGCAATTGTCAGTTAAAGTACTACAGCGCCGTATCGCAAAAATGGCCTGGTCATGAAGGGGGGTAAATCCTCTGGAGGGCAAGTGGTTAAAGCAAAGCAGTTACATGCACCAAAGGCTGCATTGGTGTAAATGGGGCCAAAATGCAAACCAGGTGTGCTATGTTCCATATACTGTACCACTCTTTGTAGTTCTTAGAGAAGCACGGTGCACTGCACTGAATGATGTGACAAAAGGCTGCAGCCGCTTGCAGAAACTAAAGATTGATGAGTCTGGTTGCATTATAAAATTCTCAGAATAATAGCATTTTGTGTGGTTTTCCTGATAGATTTATGGGTCTATCAATCAATGCCCCATCAATGAAGACGATTTGAAAATGTGAATCACCGCATTGATGTAATAGTGTAGTCTAACATTCAGGGGACAGGTGTTGGTCTTGTTATTTACTTATATTTTCTTCCGGTCAAGGCAGAAATATCAGCCCAAAGTCATGCTACAAGGCCCACACAGAGGCTAACCTGTCTCTTGCCTAAACTAAGAGCAGATGGTTCACTCTCTCTGATGAAATGCTGCAGGAGGGTAAAAGTGTCAGTTAAAGCCTTTAGTTTCAGTTGATGTAGCCAAGCTTGCACATTTTTAGGTTTGTTTTATATCCGCACTGTACTTAGGCAACAGGACAACAATGCAGACTGACACTTACCCTGGCACTTCTTCTCTGACACCAAAATAATTCTGAAGAAATCGCTGAAAGGTTAGGATGTATTATTATAACACTTGAAGATTATTAGAGATGACAGATCATTGGAGGAAAGCTATGTCTTTACAACTTAAGATCTCAGTAATCTGCTGCACTTAAGTTGTAAATTTACTACAGGTTCCCCCAGGTACAATTTCTAGCTTTGCAAGGTTTCCTAGAACAGAAAATATTTACTGTCCGGTGATTTATTCATGTAATATCCCTCTTCAAACTAGTGGGAACCTTTTTTAATTCCCTAATTACATACCTTAGATCTAGCTGTCTTCTGTCTGGTCTGGAATCTCTCTGTTTCCTGACCTGCTGTGGTCCATGAATGCAAAAATGGCATGTTCAGAAAATATGCTATACACATATGCATAGGTGAATGCCAAAGCATTTGCAACTCCCTGGCTGTGGGAAAGCAATAGGGATTTTATGCCTGAGGACCTTGCCGCTTCTAGATGTCCATGTGCATGAGGCCTAATAAACTATGGACAATTATTTTATATAGGTCATTGTTTATAATACTGTTTTTCATGTGTTTTGTATACTAGGGGAAAGAAAAACAACTGTGTCTTGCACTAAAATTATGAACAAAAATATAAACTATCGTGGATAACTCCTACTGTAAAGACTTGATGAAGCCAGAACCACAAATTAGAAAGTGCAATGAACAGCCTTGTCAAACAAGGTAAATATAATACACTTATTTTACAGTTTAATCATCTTGATTCCTTGAAATTTGTTGAACTAAAACTTCTAGTATAGGCTGGAAATAAATCCATCAACTTCCACAATCAGGATTATTGATAGTGAACAGTAAAATGAAATCTACATTTCTTTACCTCTAGTTGTTCTTTTATATGGTTAAACACAAATCCTATAGTGTGATTTCCTGGAAGCTGTGGGTTCAGCGTTGGTTCCCAAAGTTGACTTTACTTTCAAAGAACATTAAAATAAAATTAACAATGAAAAAAATCATAGTTGTGTTTTTTTAAATTAGGATCTATCCAAAGTAAAAATGGTTACAGGACCTCTTTAGTTCTAAAGTGATTGATTTTTCAGGCTTGTTCAATACTCACATCCTCACTAAGGTATGCCTCATAGTAGTCTTCTCCTCTAAGGAGGGTACTGATCCTGCATTGCTCCCCCTACTGTGTCAAGGAAGGAAGGACAAACTGTGTTAAAGAAA